AGAGTGTATGGGAAGTGGGACCAAAAAGATGTTCTATCCAAACCCTGCATCTTATTTATTAGCAGAAACTCCACAGGAATGTTTGTATTGAATATTCATTTATACCTCCACAGTATTAAAGAGACCTGTGACTGCTGATGAACTCTTGATGCCTGGAGCCCCATATGTAAGAAAAACTTTTACGGTATGTTTCCAGTATTTTTCTTTATTTTCTTCATGTTATATGCATAAGGTGATTCAAACAGACACTTTCTAATGGGATAATTAAAGCTTATTGGCATTTGCTAAGCTTTGTACTTTAAAATCCTAGGCTCCGTTATCAGTACTTGCGCACATTTTGGGTCTGATTCTGCACTTGCTTATCCTGTCTCTATGCCAGTGTAGTACTGCTGACTTAATGGAGTGTAAAAGTATGTAACGTCAATGACATTTTTATTACACAAAGTTATCTAGACTTTGTGGTTCTGATAACACTTGCTCTGCAGGAGTGGATTGCCTACCCAAACTGAAGTGTTCTACTTAGGCCTTTCTAGACTCTGATGGGACAGAATTTTTAATTCATATTCTCTACTAGAGAAAGCCTTTCTGTCAAGACATTTTTGAACCTAGTCATTGCAAGCATTACTTTGTACAGCCTCCTAGTTCAAGAAAAAAGTTCATTAAAAGCAAGAGGAATCGTTTGGATAGATCCTTTCTCATGAGTGATATAGGAGCCTGCACACAAAGCCCTTTGCTACTTGTTGCAAGTATAGACAAGTTGAAATTATGTCTTAAACCATTTAGAAGTTACCCCCTTGAATTTCATGGAGCTGCTTGAAGGTGATCATGTCCTTCTTTTCTCTTTGCAGATTGTTGGTGATGCTGTGGGCTGGGGCTTTGTGGTGCGGGGCAGCAAGCCCTGCCACATCCAGGCTGTGGACCCCAGTGGGCCAGCAGCTGCAGCTGGGATGAAGGTGGGTTTTCAAAACAGGGTGATTTACCAAAGGTATTTGTCTTGCTCCAGGAAGGTCTTGGGATGCCTGTACCTGGGGAGAGAGAGATGCTTTTGTTTCCAGGGTTGAGTATCTGTCACGAACCGTTTGCCACAGTCTCTTTGTCTCAGTTTCAGGCATTTGTGCACAGTGAGTTCTGCTGCCTTTCACCCCCTCCCTGATTCTTTACTTCTGTCCTTGAGATTCTTCAAGTCCCTCTTCCACATGAAACTCTTTATCCTTTCCAGGTTGCTTTCTTGATCTTTTACCTTTTCAGGCTTGTTTGTTTGTTTTCTTTTTTTTTTTTTTTTTATATTTTTTTTTTAAATTTTTTTTTTTTTTTTTTTGTTTTAAATATTTTTTTATTTTGTTTGTTTTTGTTTTTGTTTTGAGTTGGTTTGCTAGTTTTGGTAGTGGTGGCATTTTGTGGGGTTTTTGTTTGTTTGTTTGGTTTTTATTTTCACCTTTTTCCAATTCTGCACAGTTTTAGCTTCCCTCTTTACTTTGCAATTTATATGGTTGCTGATACGCACCTTCTGAACTTTGCCTATATAGGAAGACACAATTCACACATACCCATTGTTCACTGTAATGCAGTTAAGATTCAAGACATTTTAAAAAGTTGAATGCATGATACTTTCATATTTCATAAAGAATTTAAATACTTTCATATGTGATTTAAGAAGAAATAGATACAAATTAGATGTGAAGACTATAGTACTGTTAATGCAGAACCCATTGACTTACCTGTGGGTTTGGATCACATCCTGCATGTATCTGTGAATTAATCACACCCTTGTACAGTGGAAAAAATGAAAGCAAAGAATTATGCCAAGTACAGGTGAAAGCAAGAAAGGGAAACTAGCTGCTACGCCTACTCCAGTGCCCAGGCTGGGCCAGGCACAAAGATTAAATGAGCAGCTTGTCATGTTTGATTGTATCGTAACAACGCAAATGAAGGTGTCAGATGTATTCCACGAGCAGCCCAGTTTGCCATGAATTTTCTTCTGACTGCTGATTTGTCTCCCTTTCCCATCACACTCACCCCAGCTGCCTCTCGCCCGTGTGCTGCCGGGACTCCAGGGATTGCACCCATTGCCCAGTGCCAGACCTGCCATGTCACCCTCCTTGGCAAAGGCACTACAGGGGTTTCTCTCTTTTTTTTTTCCCCCCTTAATGAAACTTGCAAAAACGTACTAACTTTGAAACATTTACTTCGTTTTGATTATGACAAAACCCCTGGGAGAGGAAATGACAGCTGCAGGGCCTGTTGGTGCACGCAGCACCCTGACACATCCTGCTGGCAAACAGCTTGATTCTGTAGGGAATTCCTGAGCTGTTATGTTTTATATGATTTATACAATACTGAAGCAAAATATACAGTTATGGATTTTATATAAAGAGTATAATTTTCAAACAGTAAACCTGCCTAAAGAATAAAGGACTTAAATTTTAAAATCATTATTTTATTAATGTGTATGTTCTACGTCCTGAACTTGGGAGCCTAGCACTTTATAACAACTTTTACTCTCTGAATATAGCAGCTAGCTATAAAATCAATCTGTTCTGAAACCTGACTTGTAAAAAGAACACTGTGCTGTCATATATATAATCCAAGAGATTTCACTTCTGCACTCAGCAGCTTGGAGCTGAATATAGTGGGGCTTTGGTTTGTTTCACTTGAATGAACAGTAGTGAATAGCACACTAGGATGTTTCAGTTGAGCTGGATTTTCATATTTCACTTCTGAAACTGGTTTTATGTACCAAATTATGTCCTCATATCTTCCATTTGTGCTCTACATGCATTCATGTACTCTTGATACAAAGGTTTACCTGAACCATTCAAGACATAAGACTGTAAAATAGTCCACTGTCTTGAGGGGAAAAAAGAGTATTTTAGACAATAAAACTGGGAGAAATTGCTTTGAATTTGCATAAAGGATAGATCTGATTATTTGCAAAGATGCTATCTTTATATAAAATTGCTTTTCAGAGCAGAAATGCACATAAAACATTATGGCTGTGTATTAGATGAGTCCCTGTTTAGACACCAAAATTGGTGCCTCATTTTCAGAAACACTGAATACCTTTAGCCCATCATGAAGAAATGCCAGTTTTCTGTGAAAATAAAGGGTATTTGTTGAGGGGTTCCCATGGCAATAGCTATGTAAATTATAGTGCAGTGTTTGAAATTTTAAAAAATATATGTCACTTAATCCATCTGTTAACAGAACTCTTCAATCTGGCAAATTTAAAGGAATCATATGACAGGCTTTAGATGACAGCTCCTTGAAAATAAACCTTGCCCTGTGTGGAAGCTGCAGGAGGGGCACTTGGAAAATAGACTATTGGGCCCAGTAACTTCTGGTGGGCTGGTGCAAGAGGCTTTTGTCTGCCAGCATTGCTTTGAGCACTACACCAAAGAAATGCTAACAAGGAAAGTTGGCTATGGTGAAAAGGGCAAGAATTTGAAGAAGAGCCAAGACTTGGTGTTGCAGTTCGTAGAAAAGTTCTTGGCAGTAGCAGCAGGGTTTTTCCTCCTAAGGAGATATATCCAGTGTGATCATTTTTGGAAGTGTCTTTATTTGTAAAGCTTGTGATCTTGCACTGCTGTCTCTTGGAGAGCATTATATTTCTGTTTTTGCATTATGCTGGACAAATTGGTGTGAGAGGACTGCTACCTACAGTCTCATTGTAGGACCTCAATTTGTGCACTTCACACTCTACTGTATATTACATAAAACAGTAAACATTACAGGCTCAACCTACCTGAATGACTTAGTGATGGCTTGCTTTCAGTTTGATGTTGGCTGTGCTCCTGGCCTGCTCCAGAGTGCTATGAATTGGGAATCTGAGTGGAAGTCTCAATGAGCTGGGGACGGGGCTCTCACCACAGACAGTGGCTGTGTGGTGGGTGTGGTGCTGAGTGCCTGGGTTGCACGCGTCTCTGTCACACACGTGCACATCTGCATGGAAGCACTTGCTGTCTCCTTATATATGACACCCCCTTCTGGGGGAATTTTCAGACAATTTAATTCTGAGAAAATCCCTACTAACATGGTCTGTTGAAGAGGTGTGAGAGGGTGTTAGGTTTTTTGGCATTAAGTCTTGACATCTCTTCTGGGGCTGGTAAATATGATTACCATTTACAGTCTGAGGTTTCAAGTGTGAAGCTGAGCAAATAATGCAATAAATACCTTGCCAATTAGCTTCATTAAATTATGTTTAGACCTGGTTTGTTGAGGTGCAGTTGCCCGTGGCAGCATTGTGAAGAGCGTGGCTGCTCTAAGCACATCGTTAACAAGCAGGAGCTGGAGGCAACGCAGGGCTATGAAAGGAGTCAGTGTTGCAGTTCGTTCTCCTAAGTTATTTGCAGCTCTGTTTTGCTGTTGGCTGTCAGCAGCAGTGGAAGACAGGAACAGCGGGATTTTGAAGTTCCCGTGTTGTTCTAATATTCAGTATTGATTGGCTGCAAAATTTGGGTCTCTGCAGATGACACTGCTAAATATTGCCAGTTGTTGTCAGGAAAACTTTCCCCCTTTTTTTTTAGGGCTTTATTCTGTAAGTTAATTTCTGCTTTCAAAGTGTACTTTGAAAAGTTACACAACTGGCTTCAAACTAGTGACTTAAATTATGTGTCATGTGTTATTTAGTGTGACATCACTGCAACAGAGTGTGACAAAACGACCTCGCTTAGTGTGAGGCTTGTGGAATTAATCACTCATTTTGCTGATTCTGTTCTTCCCTTTGGCTGGAGAACTCAGTGCCCAGCTCTGACCTTTGAGGAATGCCAAAGAATATCTGATCCTTAAACTAATTTTGAGGAAATTAATATTTAAGGCTGTTACACCTAAGGTCCTTGTATCATACAAATTGCCAACAGCCACTCAAGCTTTTATATCCTATTCTAGTGTTTCATTTCAGTTAGCAGCAGGGAGTTTGGAGGACCGTGTATGGTCACTGGTGCCAACTCCTGTTCTGAGCTCTGCTTGGGGATTACAATAAACATCTAGGACCATTTCAGTGTGGTTCTGCCCTTCTTCTGCTGTTCTGCTCTTCTTCGGCTCCTTAAAAGCCAGTGCAAGTCAGCCTCATAGATTTTCTGCCTGTGTCATCATCTTCTGCATTCACAAATGATTATTTCAGGTCCAGGTTCTCGAATGCTTTCACTAGCAGAATAAGAGCCAAATCTCAAGTGTAACTGAGGAGCAGTTGTCTCATGGAGCAGATTGCTGACAGGTTCATTGAGGTCATCAAGCCCAGTCCCCTGCAAGCCAAGGAACATAGGTAGTAGCTGATTAGCCCAAGGAGTCCAAATACTGGCACAATCACAAAATATCACAAGCTTGTAACACAAAGGACTAAAAGCTGTGCATTATAAGGTGCCAAGAGCGTGGAAAACCAACCCAAACCCGTGTGATGTGAGAGGAATTGACAATGCCTTAGATTCCTGCAATAGGAAGAAATTTGAACTGTGAGATTCTTGGGAGGTTGAGCGTAGCCCATGCTGTACAGAAATGCAAAACCCATTCCGTGGTCCTTGCCAGTCTGACCTCAAACCTGATGATTGCTTAACTGTTTGACAAGCAAGATAAACTAGTCTAAAAATCCTGAAAATATAGAAATTATTCCTCAAGGAAAAAAATATCACAATTATGGCCGTGGCAAATCTCCAGTGTTTTACAGGATAGTAGGAAAAGTAGAGAAGCTTGGACATTGGAAGTGTAAGGATGAGCGTTGTTGTAGCTCCTAAAGGCAGCCTTAGTGGGGGGTTGAAGACTGGGATTTATGTTGTATAAATAAGACACAATGAACACATCTTCATTTAAACCTCTTCATGAAGCTTAGGAAAGGGAAGATCCTTCAGTGTGTGGTTCTGGGACTCTAACCCTTTAAAGCACTGGGAAGATGCTTCTGTGCTATTTGGAGCTATCCAAAAGGTACTTTTGCTATCTCATGACTGAGCTTTAAATGAGAAGC